CCCCAAAACCCCAAAACCCCAAAACCCCAAAACCCCTAAAAATGTAACTTAAATGAAACTCTGTTCTTATTAAATATAATTTAAATTAGATAATTTACGTCACAGAGAATGGAAAGCTTCTTAAATAGAATTCAAACTGTCAAATCCCATCTGTCTCCCTCCGAAGATTATAGAAGGGAAACCTCAACCTACAGCTTTGACTTTGAGAAGGTGGCCACTGAGGTCAGGAGTTTACGCCCAGAATTGTTTTACAAAGTCCAGGAAATTGTAGAAAAAGTATACGAAGGAAGGTAAGCTCCACCAAAAATCATTATTTGGTTAGAGGTCCAGGACATCATATGTTGGAGAAAAATGAGCTCAGATTGGAGACTAACAAACTTATTCTCAACACTATCAACCACCTCTTTGAGAAGGAGGGCATCAACGAGGAGTGGATCATCGAGAACCTAGACCAATTCATGAGGTGCCTAATGGGTACAGGCCCTGCTAATGCTTCTGCATCAACTAAATATAGTAAGTTCTTTAAAATTAATGGGACTTTAGGCGTACATTATTTTCTTTATGCCAAGAGTATCAAGAATTTGGGCACTAAGAGACATGAGGACTACCTGCTCAGGGCAGCTAACCTCACTGATCTTGGTGCCTTTGGCATGACAGAGCTTGGTCACGGCTCTAATGTCCAATCTGTAGAGACTACCGCCCATTATGATCATGAGACTAGATCATTTATTCTAAATTCTCCGACTGATACCTCAATCAAATTTTGGATTGGTAATCTGGCAAAGACTTGCTCGATGTTAGTCACCTTCGCTCAGTTGATTCTCAACGGGCAAAACAAAGGAGTCCATGTCTTCCTCGTCCCTGTAAGAGATAAAGCCACCCATGAACCCTTTGAAGGCTGAATTATTGGTGATTGTGGTGACAAACTTGGCCTTCAAGGAATAGATAACGGATGGATCAAGTTTACTAATTATAGCATCGATAAAGATATGCTTCTTAACAGATTCTGAGATGTCAACGATGAGGGGGAGTACATTTCATCCATCCCTAAGGAAAGTAAGAGATTTGCCTACCATATGGCAGCTCTAAGCGGAGGAAGGGTCCTTGCTGCTAGCAACGCAGCTGATATAGGATGCATTTCCGCCATTACAGCTCTTCGCTATTCAGCATGAAGAAAACAGTTTGCCAGAAAGAAAGGAGAAGAGGAATCTCAAATTCTCGACTATCCTCTTCATCAGGCAAGAATTATTCCTTTATTCGCAAGGTCATTCGTTGAGATGGTCACCATGCAAGGAGTGTGGGATGAATATTCTTTGATGTCCCATCAACTACTTGATCCTGCAAACAAAGCTGGTGAATACTTCCACTTAGTATCTAGTGCATTAAAGGCAGTTGTGACGTGGAACTGTTATGAAACTTGGAAAGAATCAAGACTCGCTTGTGGTGGCTTTGGCTTCTCCCACCTCAATAACTTCGGTGAACTTGGAAATACATCTGATGTCAACCAAACTTGGGAGGGAGAGAACTTCGTTCTCATCCAACAAGCCTGCAAAATCCTGCTAAAGAACTTTGCAAACATGATCAGAGGGAAAAAGACAATGAAGACGTGTGATTTTCTGACCCCTGATGCTCCTGATAATTACAAATTTGAAGGGTCTTTGCTTGACCTGAAGGATCTATTCAAACTTTACTCTCATCATGCTAACAAATGTGTACATGAATCAATCGCTAAGATTCAGATAGACTCGATGAAGGAGGGAGATGCCAGGCTCTCTAGGAAAGAAATCTGGGAGAAACATCTCTTCTATACTTTTATTCCCATGGTAAAAATTTACCTGAGCAGGTATACCATGGAAGCTTATTTAAATTTCTTGAAGAAATTTAATGATTCCCCGGAATCAAAGGAAGTTCTAACAAAACTTGCTGTTCTCAATTATTTGAACGAAATTATCAAATTTGAGGGTATTTTCAGAGAGTCTTTGACTAAAGAAAATATTGATGAGATAAAAGAGCATTGTATTGCTCTATGTAAGGAGCTGAGACCAGAGATGATCGCTCTGACTCTTACTATCCCCTTCGGCGATAAAATATTCGGAGCCATAGGTAAATCCTCAATGGAACCTTACTCCGAATTCATGAAAGGAGTAGTCAACACTCCTGGCTGCTTTGATAAGCCGAAGGAATGGAAGTACCTCTATCAAAGTAAAATCTAAATATCAATCAAAGTATGAAAATTACGTCACAGACTTGGTCTCAATTGGCATTTTCTAAAAAGGGGTTTTGGGGTTTTGGGGTTTTGGGGTTTTGGGG